GGTTTAATACGTATTTTGGTCCCTCTTTTCGTAGGGTCTGTTCAAATTGGTTCTACTTTTTTTCAAAAGTTCACTAAGATCCCACTTTTCGCAAAAACGATGCACGTTAGTCCTTTTTGGTTACGGCGTTAAAAAGACTAACGGCACAGCTGCCCAGCTGGCACAAAACTGATGAGCTGTACATTTTTTGTTGAGGTGACACTGTGAATTGGTGATTCAATCCAGTTACAAAATCGAACCTTCAAACCTGCTTTTTTTTTAATTTCTAAAAAAGGGGAAGAAGCCTAACTGTGTATCCATTCTCCTCTTCCAATTTCTATCCAACCAAACAGGTCGTATGAGAAAGACATGCATCCTGATACTTGTTCCATATCTTTCAAAAGCATTTTTCATGGAGTTTCAGCTTCACCCAAAGCTCAACTTTCTTTTATGCTTATTCATCCTTACCCTTTCATTTGCCAACGCTCAAGCTACTACCTTTGGATACTGCGGTACTTCCTCTCTCTCTTTTATTCTCTTTCAAATTGTACCCCTCAATTCTGATTTTTTTCGCCCTTCACATTGATCCCCCATATTAAAATTTTACACTTTATTTTTGGGGATTAAATTGTAGTCGGACCCAATTTGTTGATAACTTCTGTTTCTGTCTTCGATTCCATTGAAAATTTATGCAGCTGATGTGAACTATGTCGTGAAGGTGTCTAGAGTTGAAATCACACCAGACCCTGTTGTTCGTGCTAGGCCTGTAACCAACAAACCCTAACTTTTAATTTGGGAAAAACAACCATGAATCCTCTGTTTTCAAGATGAATCACCAATTCACAGTGCCACCTCAACGAAAAATGTACAGCTCATCAGTTTTGTGCCAGCTGGGCAGTTGTGCCGTTAGTCTTTTTAACGCCGTAACCAAAAAGGACTAACGTGCATCGTTTTTGCGAAAAGTGGGATCTTAGTGAACTTTTGAAAAAAAGTAGGACCAATTTGAACAGACCCTACGAAAAGAGGGACCAAAATACGTATTAAACCATATAGTTAGTATTTTAAAAAAATTATAAACTCTCTTACTAGCTTAAATGTGGAAAAGTTGTTTGTAAATGAGCATTCCTCTGCAAAAATATTATTCAAATTTGCAAGTATGGTCAAAATTACCGTTAAAATCTTATATTTATCTAAAATCTACATTCAAGATCTCGATAAAATCAATAAATACCATTGATATAGTTTTGAATATATAAAGATGGTAAATAGTAAAGATTGTGAAGGCACCAAAGTGATAAAAGTGATGCCCTTTATTAGAAAGTAAATCGTAAATCAGAAAGCTTAACTTCTTTAACTGTTATTTGACAGTAAGCACTTTGTATATATACTCTGTTTTCCTAATATGCAATACATCTCGTATTCACTATCTCTACATTGACTTTCTCTCTTCTTGTGCTCTCTCTCTCTCTCCCTTTTGCTACCACACACTCTATCAATCCCTATCAGTGGTATTCAGAGCTAGGTTTCCGAACCTAGGAGAAGCCATTCTTAGCAAGAAATTGTACTGTGAAGAAAGCGTTGCGTTTGAAGAATGGCGGGGATGATCCAAAATAATCTATCGATATTTGACAGAAAGAATTATGAAGATTAGGTTGTGAAGATGGATGTTATTCTGGGTTTTCCGGAGATTGATGAAATTGTTAAGAAAGGGTTCAAGGAACCAACGAAGAGCGACTCGAAAGAGGCCAAAGAAGGCTTACAAAGAAAACAAGAAGATGGATTGTAAAGCACGTATGATTCTGCATCAGTGTATCTCTCCATCAGTGTTCCAGAAAGTGTCCAAGGCAGTAACAGCCAAAGAAACATGGGAGATCTTGCAAGACGGATATGGAACTGCTGGAAACATAAAGAAGATCAAACTTAAGTCGCTATAGAGACAGTACGAACTGCTAAGAATGGGAGAACAAGAAACTATAGAGGGATATATCAGCAGAATTCAGGTGATTGTTAATGTTATGCGTGCATGTGACAAAATCGTAAAAGACAAGAAGATTGTCCATAAAATCTTGCGAACCTTGACGCCCCAATACGACCATATTGTCGTTGCCATTGAAGAGAGTAGAGATCTTGAGAAAATGAAGGTTGAAGAGCTGCAAAATTCACTTGAAGCTCACAAACAACGTTTGATGGAGAGAAAAGCTGCAGAACAAGATACTACACAAAACACTAATCAAGCATTGCAAGTCAAGACTTATAAGAATCGTGGGAATAACAGAGGTAGAGGTAGGTCTCGCGGTGGTCGTGGAGGCATAAATGGAGGTAGACACAATGGTGAACAAAACAAAGATGTTGAAAGCAACGAACAAGGCAGTTGTAGAGGTAGAGGAAAGCCCAAAGGCAGAGGCGGCAGAAAGAATCCTGATAAGAGGAATATACAGTGTTTTACGTGTATTAAATATGGTCATTACTCCTCGGAGTGCTGGCACAATGAGAATGTTAAGAAAGATCATAACGATGAAGTGAATCTTGCAAAAGAAGAACTGGAGTCTGAATCAGACCATGTCATCCTGATGACTATCGTCGTAGATAGAAGAAAAAATGATAAATGTGTTATGGCATACGGTGATTTCTTTCAAAACACAACCAGCGTAAAGAATGACAAATGGCCTAGGAATGCTACACAAGCAGAACAGGTGTCACTGACAGGAGAAATTGATCATGCAAGGGAGGACATGTCATGGTATCTTGACATAGAATGTTCTAATCATATGACAGGTAATAAAAGATGGATAATTGATCTAGACACCAGTGTCAAGAGCGTTGTTCGTTTCGTAGATGATAGTATAATTCGTGCAGAAGGCTTAGGCAAGGTGTTGATCACACGAAAAGATGGCAAATCTGTATTCATGCACAATGTCCTCTATGTGCCCACTATGAAGAGTAATCTTCTGAGTCTTGGCCAACTCCTTGAAAAGGGATACACTATGAATTTATGTGAAAAAAATATTGAGGTTTATGACGAAAAACAGAGATTGATAATCAAGGCACCTCTTGCTCGGAATAGAACGTTCAAAGTTAACTTGAATGTTGTTGAAGTGTAATGTTTAGTTGCAGAAGGCGCGGATACAGAAGAATGGCTTTGGCACTATCGCTTTGGACATTTGAATTTCAAAAGTTTGTGTCAATTGAGAGATAAAAACCTCGTGAAGGGTATTCCTGAGTTTACTGCACCAAGCAAAGTGTGTGAAGGGTGCGCTGCTGGTAAACAGACTAGGTGTGCCTTCAAAAGACACGCACCCAAGCGAGCAATACAGGTGTTGAACGTCATTCATGCAGATGTCTGTGGACCGTTTGATGTGTTGTCCCTAGGAGGTAACAAATATTTTTCTTTTTATAGATGAGTTTTCTAGAAAGCTTTGGGTATATTTGCTAAAAGAAAAAAAAGAGACTTACACCTGCTTTGTTAAATTCTATTGCATGGCTGAGAGGCAATCGGGCAAACAAATCAAGATTCTTAGAACCGACGGTGAAGGCGAGTTTAATTCAGGAGATATGAGTGTATTCTGCGTTGATAGAGGAATTAAACATGAAGTCACTACACCTTATACCCCACAACACAACGGGTTGGCTGAAAGAAGAAATCGAATGATCTTGGACATGGTCAGATGTATGATCAAAGGAAAGGGGTTGCCTAACTTTCTATGGGGTGAAGCAGTCGCAACAACAACCTATCTTCTGAACAGATGTCCTACAAAAGCATTACCAAATTACACACCATAAGAGATGTGGTCGAAGAGAAAGCCTATTGTTCGACACTTGAAAGTATTTGGATCAGTCTACTATAGGCACAGACTAGCTGAAAGAAGAAAGAAACTTGATGATAGAAATGAAATCCTTGTTCTTGTAGGATATCATCCAACAAGTGCTTACAGGATGTTTGATCTAGATAAACAACAAGTCGTGATTGGCAGGGATGTCATTGTTGATGAAACAACTACCTACAAGTGGAAAGAAAATGAAGTTGTCCCAGCTCAAACACCTGATAATGTGATGACCATCTGGATGGAAGAGAACAAATTGGAAGAAAGCAGACCAGCAGCTATCAGTGTAGATGGTGACATAAGGCGATCACAAAGAATGTGTTTCCCATCTACAAGACTCACGAATCATGAATTGTTCTCTGATAATGATATTACTGACACTGGAGATATTGTACAGTATGCCCTTCTTGCAGGTGTTGAATCACTCACATGGGAGCAAGCCATTGAGATTAAGGAGTGGCTAGAAGCTATGCAAGAGGAGCTATCAGCAATAGAACGAAACAAAACATGGAAGCTTGTGGAGCTGCCAGAACACAAGAGAGCCATAGACGTGAAATGGGTGTTCAAAACCAAGTACAAACCAGACGGAACAGTGGCAAAACTGAAAGCTAGGTTGGTTGCTAAAGGGTTCTTGCAGAAACCTGGGATAGACTTCAATGATGTCTATGCTCATGTTGCTCGGATCGAAACTATTAGACTCGTTGTAGCCATTGCAAATGTTAAAGGCTGGATCATTCATCAGATGGACGTCAAATCGGCATTTCTTAATGGTCCTCTTGAGGAAGAAGTGTTCATGAATCAACCACCTGGATTCACATAAAATGGCAAGATTCGAAAGTCTACCAGCTAAACAAAGCCTTGTATGGTCTCCGTCAAGCACCGAGAGCATGGAACAGACATATCGACGCACTGCTTCAGGTACAACTTTCAAAAATGCACAGTTGAGTATGGAATTTACGTTCAGTCTGTTGAGCAGGTAGGTACACTTGTGGTAAGCTTGTATGTAACGATCTACTGATCACGGGGAACTCAACAAAAGAAATTGAACAATTCAAAACGAAAATGAAGAATGAACTCGAGATGATTGATCTCAGCAACTTAGGATACTTTCTTGGAATGGAGTTCGTGCATACTGAAGATGGAATGATCATGCATTAAAGGAAATACATCCTAGAAACTTTGGAGAGATTCAACTTGAAGAACTACAACAACACGTGTATTCCAGTTATGGCCAATATTAAGCTTTCGTATCGTCAGGAAGAAGCCAAGGTAGATGTCACTCTCTTTAAACAGATGGTTGGAACACTTCGCTACATCTGTAACAGTCGCCAGACATCAGCTTCGGAGTTGGTCTCATAAGCAGGTACATGCATGACCCAAGGCAGTCTCACTTGAACGCAACAAAGCACATCCTCCGATATCTGAAAGGAACAGCAGACTATGGATCATGCTTCACCAGAATCGACAACAATGCCAACAACGTTTTGGAAGCTTGGTGTGATGCGGATTGGAGCAGAGATCAAATGGATAGGAAAAGTACGTTTGGTTATCTCTTCAAACTGATGGGAACGTCTATATCGTGGTGCTCAAAAAAGGAAAGTGTAGTTACATTATCATCATGTGAAGTTGAATACATATCAGCTGCTGAAACTGCTTGTCAGAGTGCGTGGTTGGAGGCTGTTCTTCAAGACTTGAAGATTGAGAATCGCAAACCTACACGTCTCATGGTAGACAACAAGTCGACAATCAGTCTGTCGAAAAACCCAATCTCCCACGGAAGAAGCAAACACATTGACACCAAATTTCATTACATCAGAGAACGCGTCAATGAAGGAAAGCTTGAACTTGTGTACTGCAGGACGGATGAACAAATAACATATATTTTTACCAAGGCACTGCGTCAAAGTCGCTTTGAAACACTCAGAGATTTACTAGGAATTAAGTCTTTAGGAGATTTAGATTTAAAGGAGAGTATTAGAAAGTAAATCATAAATCAGAAAGTTTAACTTCTTTAACTGTCATTTAACAGTAAACACTTTGTATATATACTCTGTTTTCCTAATATACAATACATCTCGTATTCAGTATCTCTGCATTGATTTTCTCTCATCATGTGCTCTCTCTCTCCCTTTTGCTACCACACACTCTATCAATCCCTATCACCCTTACGTAATTCAACATTAAGGAAAATATTGGTAATAATATGAAATAAATTTAAGATTATTTTTTTTATGTATAGAAGGGAGGTTTTTCACTTTCCGTGAAAGACACGGGTATAGTATACAATTGAACGAGCCTGCCTAATAATTAAAGTAATTAAGTGAAGCATGTGTGGAAGTCTGAATAATAATTTGAAGATTGAGGGAAATGACATCATGGGTATGGTTGAGATTGCGTTAATAAATTAAGTGTAAGTACCAAATTGTTGTTTAAAATAAGGTTCGAGGTGATTCTTGTATTAAAAAAACGACCAAATTAATCTCAGAGAAGAAAATCTTTATGACACGTGAAAAGGACAGAGTATCTGTCATGTCATGCATGACCGAATGTGGCTGCTCCATCAGTCAATACTACGCACAACTAATCAATTCAACAATTTCTATTCACACTTTTCTAACAATAACAAAAAAAAATACATTCAAAATTGTATGTATGTACGTACATTTCTACGTAAAGAGATGGTGAAGGAATAGTAAAAGAACTTCAGAAAACTCAATGTTAAATGTAATAATAGTTAATATTTCCTCTCTCTGATGCATGCCATTTTTTTCTTAATAATGTTCGAAATATAAAAATCATCAAAACAGATTTTATACTTTTCGACAAAAAAATATAATTCTACACGAGATCATATAATCGAATCTCTACTAATACATTTTAAAAAACTAATTATGCATTAATTTTGTTGGAGTTTTACCACACTTCTAGTATAGAAAGATTTAGGGAATATATGTCTGGACATTTTCTTTAAGAACTATCACAAAGTACTATAAATAATAATATATATTATAAGTTAAAATTAGTTTATATAAATTAATTTTAATATTTTGAGAATTTCATGTGATTTTATTTTCGTATTTTTTAAAATGATGTGATAGAAAATCTTGTACAAATCGTGATATATATATTTAATTATATTAACATGAAAAAAGGTTATATTTGACAATCTTTAAAATTATATTCATTTGAAACTTTTTTAATAATATAAGAATATATATTATAATTTTAAATTAAAAGATAATATAAATATAATTAAAATATTATTATTTTACAATGTCAAATTAATGTAATTTGGTCAAACCCTATTAACATTCAATGGACCAATAACAAATGCTATTTATTTTACTAAGAGAGCATGTGGGAGATTCTATACAATACGGTTAATTATATTCATTATTTAATGTTTCTACAAATTATAAAATTTACTTTTTAATAAATCTTTAATTTTTTTTATATTTAGCAAATACTAACACTAGTCTATATATATATATATATATATATATATTAAATGTAAACAAATTTATAAGCATTGAAGATTTTGGGGGTTGTCCAAAATTCTTGGTAAGATAGAACTTAGAAACATGATGAAATAAATACAGACAAGAGAAGTGTTAATTATATACTAATAAATAATTAACATGATAACATCACAGTTTTTCGTACTAATATGATGAATTAAATATTATGTTGTTAACCACTGTACTTGTGCCATTGAATCCTTCCAGCATGTATCTTGTCAAAATTATAAAGAAAGCAAATGAATAAAGATGGAATTGAAATATAAAAACCCTAATAAGATGATTGAGGCATAAAATAATGCAAAGAGAAGCTGCTCACTCCTAATCAATACAGCACACACACAACAAATGAAATTAGAGATGGAACATTAAATAATGAAACTTGACATTTACATGATCAGAAAAATTAAAGTGTATCAGAAAATGATATCCAAGATAGATTATAAGAGCACTAGGGGATGTTGGTTTTGTGAGACAAGGAGGACCTATCATGTTAATGCTGCCTCATTTCCAAGTAATAAGTGGGACTTTCATCAAACATTTTATATTCAAGATTCATATCTAAACCTAAGCCAAGTGTTCAATCTTCCATTTTTCTCTCCACCACCATTCCTTGAAGTTTCCAAGGTCCCAGTACAGTTGTGCCAAATATATTATTTTTATGGATACTGTTCATACACCCTTCTTATACTTTTATTTTATTCTCACGAAATCTTCTGCCAAACCAAAATATGGATTACATGTTACAAAAATATTTCCTAA